TATGGGGAAAAATATGAAAGGAGATTATTAGTTTAAGAGATTAGAGGTTAGAGAAAGATTGCAATTTTAAATATGGTAGCCAGGGAAGTCTGAAATTGGAAATAATATAACAAAACCTGAAGAAGATCAGGGAGGAAGGCATAGCTGAAGGAGAGCTTCCCAGGCAGAGAGTATAGCATGTGCAAATGTCCTGAGGCCAGAGCATGCCTGTCATGTTTGAGAGACAGTAAATATCCAACTTGGCATGAATGACTGGGGTGAGGTGAGCAGGGGGAAGTGGTAGGAGATGTGGACAGAGAGCTAAATGGGGAAACGGGTAGATTACACATGACCTTTTAGGCCATTATAAAGAACCTGGATTTCCAATGTGCTGTGGGAAGACTTTAGGGAGTTTTGAGTGATTTTACTCATTTGACATCATCTTATATATATATATTATTTGTTTACACACATCCTCACACTATGTTTATATTCATACGAGTTTGTTTTAAATACCCTCTATATACTGGTGGCTTCCACATCTCTGAATCTGTCCATGATCTTCCTCCCAAATCCCAGACTTACAGGCCCTCCCACTTCGCTGATGGCTGTGTATGTGTGACTAATACGCATCTCAAATTTAACATGACTGAAGAATTCACTTGCTCTTCCTCAGCTCAGTGTATCATTTACCAGTTGCCTAAGCCAAGGATCTCTGAGTTATCGCTGAGCCTCCTCTTTCCCCAGCCACTCACATGGCTCTGTTGACTTTACCTCTCAAATGCCCCAAATACTTAATCTCCACAATAGACGTGCAGACAAGTATGAACATGTTTTTAGGGTCTCTTATTTTTTTTTAATTTTTTGAAAAATTGTTTTAAAACATGCATTACACAAAATTTACCATTTTTACCATTTTTAAGTGTGCAGTTCAGTGGCAGTAAGTACAGTCACACCGTTGTGTAACCATCACTACTACCGTTCTGCAAAACTCCTATAATCTTGCAAAATTTAAACTCTGTATCCATTAAACAGTGGCTCCTTCCACCCTCCTCCTCCCAGCCCCTAGTAATCCCCATTCTACTTTGTCTTTATTGATTTGACTACTTTAAGTTCTATATAAATGGAATCATACGATTTCTGTCCTTTAGTGAGTGACTTATTTCAGTTACCATAATGTCCTAAAGGTTCTCCTATGTTGTAGTAGGCGTCAGGAGTTTCTTTCTAAAGCCCACAATTATTCCATTGTATGTATAGAGCACAGTTTACCCATGGATAATTGAGTTGCTTCTACTTTTTTTTGCTATTGTGAACAATGTTGCTGTGAACACAGTATATAAATACCTGTTTGAATCCCTGCTTTCAGTTCTTTGAAGAATATACCCAGAAGTGGAATTGTTGGATCATATGGGAATTGTATTTTTGAGTTTTTGAGGAGCCACCATATTGGTTTCCAGAGCACTGCATCATTTCACATTCCCACTGAGTAACTCCCTTTTAATCTTCATTTTCCTTCTGTGGTCAAGCACAATGACCTTCTTTGGTTTCTTCAAATACTAAATTCATTCTTGCTATAGGGCCTTTGAAGTAGTTATTCCTTCTGCCCATGAAGCTTTCCACCTTGAAGTTTACTTGACTGGCTCTTTCCAATCATTCATCTTAGACTCTTACCAGGAATACCTTCCTTGATGAGTTGTTACTGTCCGATGTGTATGAGTCAGTTATATGCCATATCCTAGCATAGCACTTACCAAGGTTTCATGATTTCCTTGTGGGTTTTTTTGGTCTCATCTCCCCCAAAACTCTATTTCCAGTAACTAGAACTATGACTGACACATAGGATATGCACTGTAAGTGTTGAAATGTCTCTGAGATTAGTCTGATAAATTCCTAGTGTGCTATATATGAACATTACTCATTAGTGAACATCTATATCATCACTCAGAGAATAATAAATATTCTTTAGACACAATCAAACCAAAAGAGAATTCATAATTCCATATTATAATCAGAATGGCAGTTGACCTAGTTTTCTTGACTCTAGCAGAAATTTGGGACCTTATTATTTTGAATATTTCAGGCAAAATGTTTTGTGTTTTGGGGGGGTTTCAAATTACTTCAATAAGTACCTTGATACTTCTCTATGCTTTATATATGCAATCATTGTCCTGAAGATACTTATAAAATCTTTCATGTACTTCTAAGTAGCAAATTTCAGTTTTGGCCTTTAAAGAGTACTCATGCCACATACCTTCCATAGCAGGTTTTCTAAATCGATGTTTTATAGTTCATTCCAATAGTAACCATTTTCATAGTCTCTCTGGTCAGCTGTGTTAGGCAAAACTCACTCAAGTAGCATAAAAGGAAAATTGTTGTTTCTGTCTTTTATAACTGAGTGAGTGGATACAGGTGGGTTATTCCAGATTGTGAACAATCTTCTGACACAATTACCTTTCTGATGAGACTGTGTATTATAAATGGCTTAGGTCTAATACTGCCTTGATTGGCACTTTTCCTTTCGGCCCAGGGATCTTAATTGGGTGCTAAAAGCCCATTAAATGTTCAGATCGGAAGCAGCATATACTCTTAAGTATCAACGTCCTGATTTTTATCACGTTAAAAATTATTTTGAGGTTTGGCTGTAGAATTGAAACTCGTTTTAGGTGGTGAAGAATAAGATTGAGTTTTGTATACTAACAGGCCTTCTTCAAGAACCAGTTCATGCACTCATTACCATGGTACCCTTACTGCTTCGATTGATGAAATTCTATGGGGTATTAATATAACTAACTTGCAGGGAGCTACTCTGTGGTTTGCAGATAATTGGAGAAATAGTGATTGTTTTGGAAATATTTAAAATAGTTTTCTCTTTCTTCTAAAAGATGTTGAGTATTGTCATTCAAATCATTAGGCTTGCATATTGTTTTGGAAAAGTCATAAATGCAGAAAATCTGAATAGTATTTATTTCATTTTCTAAAAATAATATTAGGCAGATTATCTTATTGTTTCAATAATTATTGCAAAAGCTTCAAATATGTCAAACAGAATTCACTGGTGAGCCCATTACATTTCAAGGACACTGGAGAGCCTCCATGACAGTAGGGCTGAAAAGTATTAATCCATCTCTTTCATCTCTTTTATTACTTTTACTTAGGGTTTATAATGGGAAGTTCTTCACAGACATTGTGTTCTACTGTTAAGGTTTAGATACACATTTCGAAATGACTTTATATGGCACCTTTGCATATTGTATCTCAGGCTTCTTCAGGGCAGACGAATAATACTTTGTCCCTTTTGTCCCGAATGGGCATCTTCGGGGGGAAAAAAGCAACTTTAGAAAATGCTGTTGATGTAACATCTTTAGAATGTAGCATCTTTTGAAAAGCTGTTAGTATGGTACCTACTTTTAAAACTTTAATGAAAGACATGCTTCCATATATCAGCTCAGTTGGAAGTATGCGTGTTGAAGATAAAGTTGGTGGTGGAGACTGCATCACCTTTTGCCATTGCATCAAGGAGAAAAATGAATTGTAATATTAAGTTTAATCGTCAGATTCTCTTACATAATTTGACATGTGCTACCTTCAGAAATTTTCAGTTGTGAAAGAAATAATGAACACAGATAGTTTGAATAAAGTTTAAGTCACTAATATTTTTAGGTACTTATCAACTACCTAGAGCTGTGCAAAGCACTTAATGGACTATTAAAGTTTAGATGGGCCAATTCTTTCATAAACTTCTTCCTAGCATACTTCTTGGATTTTCAAAGAATAGGCTCTGTATTAAACCTATCAAGATATTTATTATAGTATATTACAACTGCCTTTTTTTCTGTCTTCCCCTTTAAACTATAAACCTCAAGACATTTACTCTCTCCTGTACCCTGATCATCATGTGTGCCTAGCCGTATACTCAGACACACTAGGCACTCTACTCATATTTATTAATTGAATTATGATCAGTGTCCGGAGAATACATCATTTCTTTAGAAATAGAGTCATAGGGAAGCATGATGATATAAAAATCAGAATGCCAGTTTATTAATTTTCAACACACAATCTCTTTAAAAGAAAATTTAGGTCAGGGTAGCATTTTCTCTCGAGTAGCTAACATCAGTTGGTGCTACTCGTAGTTCGAGTGTTTTTAAGCATTATTTCATTAAACCTTCGCAGCCCCACAGTACTATTCTTATTCTCATCCTGCGCGTTAGGAGACTGAAGCTGAGAGAGGATACATAAGGCTTAAGGTGTCACAGCTAGTGAGTATCTAGTACAAATTTGGATGCTTCTCTTGATTATTTCCAGAGCTCAATCTTTGAGTCAATCAGTATTTGGAAGGCCAGTTTAATTAGAAGGTAAACTCAGAGAAGATAAATAATCTGATGAGGACACACAGTTTGTAAATAACAGAGCCTGGTAGGAAACCAAAATTGCAGACTCCAAAGTCTGGGGCTTTAACCCAGGTCATCGTCTCCGTTCATAATAAATGTACTTTTCACAGATGCAATAAACCATGAGTTAAGTACCATCCTAATCATACTCAGCAAATCATGGCCCTAAATTGTTGATCCTGACAATTTCTTTAGAAAGGACAGCTATATTTATTTTCATTTCTAGTTAAATCATAGTAAATAACCTGTAGGCGAGACAGTTTGGGACATTTCGTTTCTCTATTGTTTTTACATCTGCCTTGATTTCACCCCTTGTTCACGATACCTAAGAAGAAATATATGAGAAAAAAATAAGTCCAAGGAAAATCTGTTGGAATAAAGATGCACGATACTGCAGTGTCTCTGAGGGGATTTCAGCCTTCTCTTGTGCTTAAGAAATTCTGTGAAAGCCACATCAGGCATGGAAACTGTGTCACATGCTGAAACAAGGAGGAACTTGGGTAATAAGTGATGCACCGCTTGAGGGTCTGTGGAACATGCTGTTAAGTCTTACAGTTTAAAACGGGGGGTGTCTTGCCACGTTGTGTGTTCCATCATGAGACATAATGATGTCCTCTTTTTTAATTCTAGAGTCTCAGGTCCCTGACCAGCCAAGCTCTCTTCACGTGAGGCCCCAGACCAACTGCATCATCATGAGTTGGACTCCTCCCTTGAACCCAAACATTGTGGTGCGAGGTTATATTATCGGTTATGGCGTTGGGAGCCCTTATGCCGAGACAGTCCGTGTGGACAGTAAACAGCGGTATTATTCCATTGAGAGGTTGGGTGAGTAGCTGTGGTTTTTATTCCATTAAGGAAAATAAGTGATCTATTTTAAATTATTTTCTTTCTTGGAAAAATACTCTTTGGAATTTGATTTCAATTTGTAACATATATTTATTCTCAACTCTATCCTATTTTCTTTTTTTCTTCTATAAGTCTACACCTGCCTCCCTGTACACACACACACATACACTTTTCTGGATTTTGAATTGGAGAATTTTATCTAGAGAGATTCACAGTAATGAATACCCTGGTGTGTACCCTTGTCTTTGTGTCAGAGGGTACAAAAAGTATGTTGGAACATTTTTCTTTTTCCACTGTCGATGGAAACCTCTAATCTTAATAATTCTTACAAAAAGAAAGTCAGGCCATTTTTTTTTCTCACTAGATAATCTGTCAGTTTTTCTCTAACCTTGAATTATCTAGCCACGTTACCATTTTTCCCCTTAGTATTCACAGATAAAACTCTGTGGCTATGTCATTACAACTGTAAGACCAACAAGATAAAGAAAAGGATTTTCAATCAAGCCAGTAACTTGGAGCAGTCAAACTCCTTTCTACATGTATTCTGTATCCCTCCCAATCCAAGCTATCTTATTATATTTAACTTCATTTTGCTGAATACAAGACTTCAATTGTTGTATTTCTGAATTCATTGAAAATTTTATTCAGAGGATTAACATGTATAAAGTTTCCATCTTCATTTTGTATCACATTTTCCATAGTGTTAGAAAAGATTACATCATTAGCAGAGGGAAATAAAATGAATATATGTCATATACAGGTTGCCAATAAGTGAAGCAGTTATCATAAAGCAAAAAGCAAGTTGATTCTACCTGTTGATTTAATACCGCATTATTTGCAATGAATTATAGTGACCTTCTCAGTGGAAATGCAGCCTGATTCGGGTTCCTCCTTATTTGCAGTGTCTCTCAGAAACAGAACATTTGTGTCAAGAAACCTGATTCGAATTTGGATAGCTAAAATGCAGTAGCGAGAAATGGTTTTGTCAGTGCAAGAGGAAAACTGCACTGACCCATTCTCCCTATAATTGCTTCAAACACTAGTAAGAGACGCACCTTCTGCAAATCTCCAACAATTTGGGTTAGCTTGGCATTTGGGAATAATATTCTCTCAGTCAGTCCCTGAGTCTGAATGCTAAGGCAATCACAAAATTCATATTTTATGGCCGTCAAACCTATGTCAGGGGACTCTCATTTATCCATTATTCAGTAAACTGCACCATCTCTGACAGTTCATCCTGATGCCACGCACCAGAGGGAGAGGTTCCTGTGGCAGTGCACGGGCTCTCTGGCATGGAGGATGTGGTACAAACTCAGAATGAAGGCGTGAAAGCAAACTGCATTGTTTCACCATGCTAGCTGTTTTCTTCTGCACTAACTCTCCCATGAGTTTCCAAATCTAGCAAAACTGAGGCATTTGGGAGATTAACCCTGTGGCAAATCTTTCCAAATGCTTAACAAAGAAATTTCCCCTAATAAAATATGTTTTAAAGACAAGACAACTAGTAAAGGTACAGTAGGCTAGGAACCTGTCTGTGATAGACCATCATGAGTGTTCACTTTCAAACTTAACTGGAAGGAGAAAGTACATACATACACTCACCCACTCTCACCCCCGCACACGTGTGTATGTACATATGTGTTAAATTCTACTGATACTCTTTTTAACGTAGTCCCATGTCTTAAAATATGAAATAGAGTTTTGTTATTCTTGTTCAAATATCCTCATGGTTTTGCACATAAACTAGTATTCTTTCAATATGTGTTTTTACTATTTGGCCAAGATATATGTTAAGCATAATCTTAAGTTGTAATTTTTTTAAAGCTATAAAGGATTCATTCAGTTCCACATTTGAACTCTACAAAGAACACATCATCAATGTTTTATTTATTCTATTGAATGTTAAAATAGGCATTTCAGTTTTCTTAGTATCTTTTTGAAAAGTTATTTAAAATACAGTTTTAAAGCTTTAGAAACACAAAGAATCTAGACACTTTATAATAGACAAAAGGGAACGAACATAGGTTAAGAACTATATGGCAGTTATACGATCAAAAATGAATTAAAGAAAGTTGTAATCCATTGAAGCATAGGGTCAGCCTAACTTCAAGTAGAATGGTTGTGTTTAAGGCTATAAAAGCTGTTTGGTTTGTATTTGAGAGATAAGCCTCCTCTTCTCTTTGATGAGACAAGAACTTCCTAATAGCGTTTTGTTTATCAGACATAGTAACTCACTATCGAGACACGAGGCACTATGACCTGCTTCAGGACTAGAAATACAAAACCATTTTGAACAGCACATATTACTGCTTAATTTAGAACAAAACGAAGCTTACCTAGTACAGGCATAAAGCTTCATTAACCAACATTTGTACATTAGATGTTTATAGTTAATTTTTTGAAAACTTACTCCTTTTTAGTTCAGAAGTCCTAATGCCAAGTTTGATGTATACCAATGGTGTAGATCCACAATATCTGAACTCTAGCAATGCTTAGCAACAGTAATTTGAAATTTTAAAAACTCAGTATTTTCTGTCTACTAATCTATAGATCAGTCTATTCATTGATCAATTTATCTTTTTATCTTTGTGGAGGTATTGTAATAGGTAATGAACTGCATATATAAAGTGTACAGCTTGTTGCATTTTTAAAAGAGTTTTATTGAGTTATAATTCGCATGCAATACACTGTATTTTTGCATTTTTTCTTTAATTTGTCTCAGCAGTATTTTATAGTTTTCAATGTAGAGGTCTTGAGGTCTTGAATGTTTTTGTTAGATTTAGCCCTAAAACAAACGAACAAACAAAATGATAGATATATATATGAATAGTCATTTAAATTTATTTTCTAGTGTAGAAGAAAACAGCTAATTTTTTAATATTAACCTTGGTCCCCTAAGACCTGTTCAATCCAGCTATTTGTTCTATTAGTAGTTTTGTAGATGCTCGGAGATTTTCCATTTAAATGAGCACGTCATATGCAAATAGGAACAGTTTTATACTTAATATCTGATCTTCATTCCTATTATTTCCTTCTCTTCCTTTCTTGCAAAGGTTAAGATCACCAGTAAAATGTTGAATGGAAATGGTGAAAGCAGGCATTTTTGTTCTGTTTCTGATCTTAGGGGAGGCATGAAATAGGATGTTAGCTGTAGTTTCTTCACTGATGTCTATGATCAGATTGAGGCAGTTTTATACTCTTCTCAGCTTTATGGGAATTTTATCATAAATATTTATTGAATTTTTATGAAATAATTTTCTATCTCTTGAAATACTCATATACTTTTCCTTATTTATTATTTTTAAATATGGTAAATTACATTGATGTTTGAAGGATACTCGTTCCTATATTGTTGGATTTAATTTGTTAATAGTTATTAAGAATGTTTTGTGCCTATATTTATAAGGTATATTTATCGAGAAATTTCTGTACATGTAGTGACTTTATCCAATTTTTTTAAAAGTTATACTGACCTCTTAAAATTAGTTGAACAATTTGCTTTTTTTCTGTAACTGAAAAAGTTTGTATAAAATTAATAATTTTTATTCCTTGAATTTTGATAGAATTCACTAAAAAACCATCTTGATCTGAGATTTCCTTTTTAGGGAGGGTTTTGAAATGTATTCAATTTCCTTAACATATATAGGTATTTTTATATTTTGCATTTTTTGTATTGATTTTGGCAAGTTAAATTTTTCATGAAATTTGTCTGTTTTATTTCGTCACATTTGTTGGCATAGAAGTTGTTCATTCATGATATTCTCTTACGATCTATGGTGTTAAGTGCTTCTGCATTTCTCGTCCTAGTGATTTATGTTCTCTTTTCTGTGATCAGTTTAGGTAGGGTTCACCAGTTTTGTTGATCATGTTAAAGAAAGAGCTTTAACGTTACTAATTGTTCCTATTATTTGTCTGTTCTTTCTCTTTCATATTTGCTCTTATCTTGACTGTTTTCTTTCTTATACTTAATTCAGTCATACTTTGCACTTCTATTTGTAATTTCTTAGGGTAGAACTTGATAATGTAGGTTTTTAAACCTATTAGTATAAGTACCACATTCCTTGTATTCTGTAAATTTTCATATGTTGTACATTCATTACCACTTAGTTCAAAATATTTCCTAATTTTTCTTTGATTTCTTTCTGCCCTATGACTTATTGTGTTGCTTAATTTTCCAGTTTTGTGTTTTCTTAGATACCTTATTACTATTAATTTTTAATTTTCTTATCATGATTAGCTATATATTCTATTTGATTTCACTGTTTTTAAATGTTTGGGGCTTATTTTGTGGACCAGCATACTGTTAATTTTGTTGAACGTGCTATGTGAACTTGAAAACCATGAATATTCTGCAGTTATTAGGTATAGAGTTCTATAAATGTCAATTAGATCAAGGTCTTTGATAGGGTTTTTCAGATCATCTGTGCCTTTACTACATTTTTTGACCAATAGTTTGTGAATTGCTAAGATTGAGTATCAGAATCACCTTTCTATAAACATGGAATCATCTATGTCTCCCTTTAATTCTGTCAGACTTTTTGCTTCATTTATTTGAGAGTCTGTGATTAAGCAAGTACACATTTATAACTGTTATATCTTCTTAGTAAATCACCTCATTTAATAAATGTCTTTATCTCTGGTAATACTCTTGGTCTTCAGGGTGGTTTTATCTGTTATTAATTGAGCCATTCTAGCTTTCCTAAATTTACAGTTTACATAATATATCTTTTTCAATCCATTACTTTCAACCTATGCCTTTAACATTCGTCTTTCTCGTGTAGGTAGTATATAGTAGTATATAGTTGGTTCTTCCGATTATGAAAATTATGAAATTATGAAAATTTCTGCCTTTTAAATTGGAGTTTTTAGACCAATAAAATATAATGAAATATAAATGGCTGAATTTATGTCTACCATTTTATTTGTGTTTTCTGTTCTCTCTCTCTCTCTTTTGTTTTGTTTGCCTGTTTTCTCTTTCT